TAGAATGACATTCTCCAGGAACATCCATGTTGCTGCAAATGGCATTATGTTGTTGGTTTTTATGGCTGACTATTATTCCATTGTGTAAGTATACCACAGCTTCTTCTTCCTGTTTGTTTACATCTTAAAATTGTCTGCATGTGTTTCTAAAACCTGTCTTGCCACTTAATGTGACTGATGCCTTTTTTTCCCCTATATTACTTAAGCTTGGATAAACCAATTTCACATAAACAGCTAGTTAACCACTGTAAGAAATACAGAAGAAAGCGAAATATAGTTGGGTTAAATCACCACCACAGAGGTAATGGCCCAGGTATGACTTCTATTTTTAACATCTCTTTGGGATCTGACTTAAGGCATTTAAATTAGCCTATATCACATTCCTCTATAGTGATAAAAATACTCTAAACGTATCACATATTATAGTCAGTATCAGACTGCTAATAAGTTCATTCACACTAGTGACAAATCTATTATGTCAATAATAAAAACTTTGACTTGACAACTCTGCTGGTAGAATCCAGGCCTGGTGATGCTAACGGATGTTTCGGTAAAAGCCTGGAGTGGGCTGATGTCAGCCCCCATGCTTCATCACAGAGATGCCAGAACAACATTCATTGTGGTACCCCATGGCCCTAAAATGATGCTCAAGATAAGAGGCCTGTCTTGAGAACAGAAGAAAGTGGCTTGACAGACGACACAATCCCCTTTACCATTTTTTTGTTCTGGAAGCTGCAAACTATGAAATCCTACCTAGGTTACTTCTTCAATAGACTCTATCCTGTACTTTGAAGAACTCACATAGGCTGTAAGGAAACCATTCAGGCTCTTTGATGTTAATTTTTCCATGTGTTCAGGAACATAATCTATGAAATCTATTTACCTTCACAGCTCCTGACTATGATGGGAATGATGGGGTGAGCCAGTCACTGGAGGGGGGCCAAGATGAGGGGGAGCCTTAGTATCTGGGCTGAGGTTTAAACTGGTTCTACAGGGCGGAGGTCCATAAGATAGGCTGTGCAGATGCACTCTAAGTCTCTCTGAAGCACCTGAAATTATGAGTACTACTCTAGGTGGGAGCATTTTCCTGGGGAGACAATCCATAGCTTTCTTCACCTTTTTAAAGGTGACCGTGACCCAGATTGTTCGTAAAAACTCAGGCCAAGTGTATAAGGAAACTTAAGCCAAAAGAAGGCTGCATATTGTCAGTGTTGTCCAAACCAGTGTGACCACAAGGATTGCCTGGTACTTGTTAAATTGCTTGTAATTCTCTCCTCCAGGAAATTAACATTGAATCCTTTAAAAAATCTTAATACACATTATGATTCACTGCTTGTATTCAAAAAGTAAATTAGAACAAGGCAACAGTTACCCACCAGCATAGCGTGTCAGAAATTATGAGTATGTTCTGTAACATGCCCATCCTTCAGATTCTGGGGAGATACACCCATTGCTGCTCCTTTGTTGGGCAAATCCAGAATAGTCCACATATTAAGTAAATCAAAATTCTAAAAAATCAGTGTTTTTCAGATGTCATGAAAAACAGTAAATCAGAAGTTGACGGCTCTGTAACATTGCTGCCCAAATAATCTTGTCTGAATCCTAATCCTCAGTTAAACGTCTCATGTAGATTTTTCTGAATTCAATCTCAGCAGCACCACCTACTGATAATTTAAATTCAGTACTTTATGTAAATTCTTAGCAATGGTGAATATCAAACAAATAACTGGAAAACACCTAGAATAGGTCTGGCTTTTCACAAGATATGTACTGAGGAAAAAATATGAGAGAGGGAAAATTTAGTATTTTTCCAAGTGGTGAATCAAATTGCATTAAATGGCAATGCATGCTTTAATCATGCTATAGATGGAATGCTTATCTCCCAGCAAGACCCACATTGAAATTCTAACCCCCAGTGTGATGGTGTCTGGAGGTGGAGTCTTTGGGAGGTGTTTAGGTCATGAGGGCAGAGCTCTCATGAATGGGATTAGCACCCTTATAAGAGACCCCAAGGAGCAGCCTACCTCCTTCCTTCTGCCATTTGAGGTTACAGTGATTAGACAGCTATGACCCAGGAAGCAGGCCCTCACAAACTGAATCTGCCAGCGAGCTGACCTTGGACTTCCCAGCTTCTAGAACGGTGAGAAATAAACTTCTGTTCTCTATAAGTCACCCAGAATGTGGTATTCTGTTATAGCACCTTAATGGACTAAGACAAATCCAGACACATTTCTAGCAGGATGGCCATCCTGCATTTGTCCCCCTACTGCAAGATATAATTGCCATCATTCTGTATTCCAGTTGGGTTCAGCCAACGAGAGGACTGGCAGGAGATCAGAGCGCAGCAGGAGACACCAGGGTACTCACTGTCCTTGTCCGTCTGTCCCGCCCACTGCACCAGTCTAGCTCTTACTGGGGTCCATGCGTTGCTGTGGACACTCATCCCTTTTGAGTTAGGGGTCGTGACAGTAGAGGATGCCTCAGCATCCTTCGTTCCCTTCATCTTCAGTAAGTAGTTCTTTACTAAAGCCTGTTCAGTTGACCTCCGGAGTGTAACTCGACTTTCTGGCAGGCCGCTGACAGACACACAGAGCTCTCTGCAAAATTATTTTGCAGGCTGTGAAACTGAATTTCTCATTCACTCAACACTTATGTAAATACAACGCAAAAAGTATTCTTCTAGGTGCAATACAATACAAAGATGAAAGATTCCATTAGTATCCTCAAGATGCTCATAGTAACATACATACAGGGGATTTGGGTTGACTAAAAACTTTTTAGGTAATTGATTCAATATAACTACTTTAATTTCTACATATAATTTTATTAATCTTAGGTATCAAATAAGTAGGCCATTTGGCCATCATGTCTCCATAGTTCCCTGAAAGAGTCTCACCTGATTTACCACCAGATTAGAACCCTGTAGTTTAAGCAATCTTAAATAAGACGCTAGAAACCTGGCACCAATTACTTTACTTGAAAATGTGTTTTTACATTCTAATGAGGTATTCTTACAAACAAATGTTTATCTTGGAGTCCTTCTGTGGGATACACACACACGTACACACACAGAGTACAAAATTCTCCCTTAGTGTGAAGAATTTGGAGAGCAGGGACCTGCCTCATTCTCCGAGGTTTCAGAGTTCCCACACGGTACACAGTGAACCAGCGTGTCAATGACAAGCTGATGGGCAAGAGTACAAACTTTACCTAGGTTTGAACCTGAGCTATGTCACCATCTAACTGGATGACCTTGAGCAAATCGCCGAACTCTCAAGTTTCCTCACCTCCAACATCGCCCTAGTTTAAATGAGTTATGTGAAAAGCACTTAAGAGTTCTCATGGAAGAACACCAGTGCTTATTCAAAAAGTAAGATTAAATTGATGCTGTTTTTAACATTACCTGGAGATACGATCGCTAGGGCAGAATTTAAGAGATATAATTCTCTCATTTTACTGATGATCAAACTGAGGACCAGGAAAAGTTAATGCAATAAACCATTACAGAAGACGTGCCTGATCCAGATAACCTCACTCCTAGGAAGATTCGCTCACTGGCACACCATGCTTTAGAAACAAATGGAGTAATTCTGTCCGAAAAAAAAAAAAAACAAACAGATAAATCTGTTGATATAAAATGAACTTGTAAATAACCTATATTTATATTTTGATTTGTAAAGTTATTTAAAATATTTAAATAAATACCTGCTATACTTAGTGCTTCGAAATGTTAGTAAACTTTGAAAACTTGGCATACACTCAAGAATCAACCAACTGCAGGACAAATCAAGTTAAAAAAAATCAGTGAAAATAATGGCATGATGGCTGTGCACACTTAACTCAGAAAACAATGTTTTCCTTAATTTCCCTCTTTTCTTTCTCTTTGGAGGGAGAAGGCAGGATCATAGGGTATATAATCTCACAGATTGCATGTAAGCAGAACACGTAATTCTTTGAATCTGAATATGCTCATAAGCTCCACTGGGATCCTTTCTGATCTGGTAAGGGGGGAGAGAGTTTTCTATCTGGATATCCATAATTCTTATCAATCACTTAAAACCATATATAAAAGGATTTTTTTCAGTTAGAAATAAATGGTGACTAGTCACTTATTCTCCATCTCTAAATGACTCTGAGAGTCAGTTTTGATATGACTGTTTGGAAAACAAAAACTTGTTGCAGGAGATGATACACTAGGGAACGTGAGCAAAAGGCAAATTTCAAGTAGCTTATGTGTGACTGTCCAGGAGAAACAGGGAGAAATGCAGAAAACTGCACCCAGCGAAACTGAGCTGCACGGGAACACACATGCGTGCACACCAGCGCCCTCAGTTCGCCGAGGCTGAGTCACACTCACCCGGGTCTGGTGTCACAACCTGCCCTTGGACTCCAGCAGCTCCTCCGCCCACCTTCACCTTCACTCATAAACACAACTCTTCCCACGCCCACTTCCACAGGCTCGCTTCAGGTCTTGTTCGAGGTAAAGCGCCATATTTATTATAATGTTCATGTATTTGTAAACCATTTAACATGTAAACCAGTGCTGTTTTTCTTAGGTTCCTATCTTTATTCTTAATTATGTCACCGCTGAAGATTTGGAATGCTGTACCTCTAACTGGTTTTCCCCATAAACCCTAAGACCTTTTTATTGTGCAGTTATGCAAAGCACAGTGATTTTTAGAACACATATATGTATGACAGCAGAATTCACTGTTCTGTTACAAGCTCCAGGTCATCAAAATTATAACAACTCAAGTCTAACATACAGGAGTTATCTGCTAGAAACCACCAACATTCAGGTTTCTCTTAAGTTGATTTCAAACACTCCCTATAGAACCTCACATTTCTCAAACAACAGCTCTTGGAATAGATATCTAGAAAAAAATTAAGTTATACACAGCATCTGTTTAATAAGCTATGAATTACTAGATAAAAAGAATATTTAAAAATACGACTTTCAAAAGATATTACACATAGTAATTCAGATCATGCTATTCAGTTTAATGATGCTGACCTCTTGGTCAAAAAATGGAAATTATCACTTCAGGGGTTTTAATCTCAAATGTTTTTGACAAAACTGTCAGAATATATTACCTAAACTCAGCTCTTTTAGCTATTTGTCTTCCTTCTTTGCTTAATTTTTGAGAATAATTTCCCTCACCATTGCAAATTCAACATACATAAAACATTTGGTATAAAATGGACACTTACTCAGTTTTAATTCTCCAATGAAAGCATAAACAGATCATGTTCCAGTAAGTATTCTTTAGCAAATAGAAATTGGTTTTTTTTTTCTTTTTGCCTTTCAAATAGAAAAATCAGCATAGTTAACTACATAGAAACGCCGGGTGAGAATTGAAATAAAAACAGAATTTTGCTCCTATCAGGCTAAAAACCTGAAGGAAATTACTCATTTTCAAATTCATGAAAGGCATGCAGAGAAGAAATACTCCTTAGTTTAAAGGGGCTAAGCAAAAGCACAATAATTTAATTTGCAGCCTAATAAAATTCCATTCCAGATACTAGAAGTCTTCTTATTTCAAATACATATTTAACTTAACCTGAAGGGAATCCATTGGCCTGCCTGCTCCCCCTTCAAGAAAACTAATATTTGGCAATCATATGAATGAAATAAAATTACACTGATACTAAATTTTGGTATCAAAACATTTCACTAACACCAATTATAATCTAAGTAATCTTTTAAAAAGAAAAAAACCTAACTGTATAAACACAAAATTGACTTTTACTATGACATTAAGATAAAGAACTTTAGCTGTTTGGTTTGCTTGTTTGTTTGCTTTGGTAAAACCCAAGCAGTATTCATTTCTGGAACTATTCTTGAAACAATTAACATGAGACAGCAAAAACGATTCTAAAAAGGCAGTGACTGTTCTTGCTTACAAAGGGAGACTATAACACAACCAGTGATAACTGGAAATTTTGTTTCCCCCCCATAAACATGCTTATCTATTTCAATACTTGATATAAGCCTTTTTATCAGATTCCATGAAACAGCATAGATTTAGAAAAGAATTTTTTCAAATGCCAGCAGGATATCTAATTTCCTAAAGTGCAAACAAGAAAACTAACAAAAAATTTATTTTATTCTTAGAATCATTTTATACAACTATATAAAAGAATGGACATATGCAACTGACCAACAGACAAGAAAAAAAGTTGATTAGAAAAAAACCAACCTTTCTTAAATGGCTAATGTTGATGTATATTAATAACTTGCATTCATAGAGTATATTAAGACATTTTTCTAGGCCAAACAGTTGTGATGTAAAAAAAATGCCACTAACTTTGCACCTTATTTAGAATTTTAGAAGACGACTCAGATAGCATCAAAGATGGAAACCACCAGCTTACACAGTTCTCTAAACTCAGGCAGTCTGCCTACTTAGTAAATGAAACAGCTAAAGGACGGCAAGCGTAGAACGCTGCTCCATCACCATGTTCACGTCAGTAAGACCAAGGGAGCCCGTGCTATTCTGCCTACGAGAACGTCAAGAACGGTTAAATTCCATACCGTCCGATGCTCTTTCCTTCAGTTGGAGGCAATATACAAAAACAGTATATGCTTCAAAGCCGTAAGTATTTAAATTCTTCCCCCAAATCAGCACCACTGAAAGTGAAAGTACTATCAAGTGAAAGTGTTTCTACTTAGAGTGAAGATGTTCCGGGGGGGTCACTCAAATAGAAACCAAAGGCTGAGGAGTTTGCTAATGGAAATAAGGGATCCTCAGATTGCTCTGCAGGAAGTATATTGTTAAGACCATGTGCTAGAAACCATGCTTCCAAGTGTCAGTACCTCCTCCTTCTCTAAGCTATGAAGTAACTTCAGTGGCACACGTGGTTATGCAGGCTGAATGGCAGGGAGGCTGAGGATCTGAAGCACAGAATTTCTGCTGGTTTCAAAGGGTCATGTAGTTACACTAACACTACAATCTGGAAATAAGTAGAAGGCCCAGAGAGATGCATAGAACTGCCCAAGATCATATATTGAGCAAGATACTCTTTTGACAAAAGATACATCTGGGCTAAAATCTGAATTCCTACGGCAATGAACTGAAATTTCCACTTCACAGCAGAATAGAACGCCAATAAACTCCTATAATATAATTTAGTTCTTATTCTTCTCTTCAACCAAAAGTATAACATCAATTATTAAAAAAAAAAGCCCATAAGGTCAAAAACTGACACACTGTACAATGCAAAGACTAAAACCATTTGTTTCATCCTGTGCCAGCCACCATTTATAGAAATGGACTTCTTATAATAAAGCCTCTTTAGTAAATATTAAGTGAATTTACCTCTATTCTTCATTACAACTTCTTTAGTCATGTTTCACAACTCCTTGAGTGTTATCACTATATTTTCACATTATGGAATATCAAAGATACACATCGAAACTTTTTTTTTCCTCTGAAGAAAAAAACAAATTCCAAAACCAGCATATAGCTGTTTTTTTCTGTATTTTTAACTCTGAGGAAAATAATTACACCATATGGATGTTTCATATTTGGTATCCTAAATGCCTAACAGATAATATTACATATAATTAACCAAAAACATTCTCAATTGTTTATATATTTTCTCTCTTTTTAAAGTAACAAGATACGTAATTATCCTCCACTTAAGAAACTTCGTATATCTTGCCACAGAAACAATAGATTACAAACATTTATTCTGTTTTTTAAAAAGCCACCAACCAACTGAAATAATGTAAGGGATTAAGCCAGCTACTTAACAACCTGATGGTGTACATTATTGTAACTTGCATGTGTTTCTAACTTGACTGATTATTAATTTTTAATCAGCCCGATTCCAATTTGATAACCAATTTCAGGAAAGTAAGTAAAAACTAGAACTTTTAAAAAGAAAGGACTTCCCTTCCTCATGAGTGATTTCAATATCTTAAAAGAAGATATGACTATAAGAGAAGTCTTTTATGAGTTTATAATGAGAAGTCTTTTAAAACAAACATGCCAAGATGTACACCTCCCAAAACAAAGTCCTATGATTTTTTGCTACATTTCTATAATACCTAAAAGCCATCCAGAATGAATCAGGTAGATGAACAAGCTTGAGAGAAGTTGATTTTGGTTTGAATGAGGGAAAGGGGGAGCTAATTATTTTTATCAAGGGCACAAACTTTCTTCAGTGACTGTAAATGCAATTTGAAATGAAGAACACAAAGCTGTACTGAGCTATGGTAGCATCAATGGCCTGAGCATATAGTCTCTTATACAGAATAACCACAGTTTAAGGCTAACAACATTCATTTATACATACAATTTTCTGATATGAGCTTGAAAAATTTAGATTCATTACTTTTAACCATAAGTCGTATAGTTCTGACTGAATGTGGGAAATGCTATGAGACAACTGGTGTTGATCTGTAAAAAGGCAGTATCATGGAGGAAAAAAGAAGAGATTAATCTGGATTAATAGAGAATAAAGGAACATAAAAACTGTGGTGTATGTTCCTGGATTTTTAAAAAACTATGCCTTCAACTGACAGTCTGGGGGTGTTTGGTAACAATAATATTACAGAATTATGTGACAAAGCTTTAGGTTGTGCAGGAGAATGTACTTATCCCTACAAAATACATGACAAAATGATTAGGTGTATAGTTTAGTTAAAAGTCTATTGCTTTGTCTATTCATACAATAAAGTCTATGTGTATATACCCATAAAAACACACCTATACACAAACATGGATACAGACACACGTATAAACATACATAAAGAGATAAAGCAAATGCAACAAAATGTTAATGATTAGTGAATCTATATGAAGAATACTCAGGTGTTCAATATATTATTTCAGTCTTTCCTGTAAGTCTGAAAATTCAACATAGAAAGTTGCTAGGAAAAGCACCACTTGTAGTATCAGACACTGACCACAAAGGGCCAACTTAGCAACATCCTGCTCTCTCTGTTTAATCTTAACCTCTAGGCAGTGGTCTCCAAATCGGGTATACACATTCTAGGGCATTGACTAAAAGACCGAGAGATCTGGGAAGAAAATATTAGAATTTCTATTAATAATTTTTTCTCTTACCCTTTTAATAAAGATTTCTACTTTTGGTGTGTTTCATAAGGTACTATATTACTACAGTAATATAGTATATAACATACTATAATAATATAGTGTATTATTACAGAACTTGTACAATTTGTAGATACATAGACATACATATTTTTGAGGCTATAAACTCAAAAATATTTGCTACTGATGAGGGTACCTGATCAAAAAATCTGAATATATTCTTTTCTAAAATAGACATAACTTTTTTTTTAAGTCTCTGAACACCAAAAGGTCTTGAGAACCAGTCTCTCGCTTTTATACAGAGGCCTGCTGACACTCAGTAATTTAATATGCAATCCTTGTAAGAAACTGAGTCTAAAAGCAGCAGCAGACAGACAATAACAGTAGTGAGAAGTAAAAACATGAAGCTAGAGTGTGAAACAATCAACAAAGTACAGCATGACCACAAGTTATCTCCAACAAAATGTTACATTTTGTTCAACAAGAAAATCTAGTATTTTAAATATGTAGATTTAAAATGCTGTAGAATATTATGAGGGAAAAATTGCTAAGGTAGGAAAACTTGAGGGAGAAGAATCACTAAGCAGTACAATTTCAAAAGAAGACCATACTAAAAAAGAATGCATAAAAACTCAAGGTGGCTTTGCTCAAAAACCAGGGGGGCATGTCATTATCAGTAGCTCAGAAAATAACGCGGACATTTGACCAGAACACTTAATTGAACCATGATTCTAAAAGATAACTAAACATAAGGTCTTTGAGAAAACATTTAGGTAAGTTCCTTCTATATATTTATTCTAAGCACTTATCAACAATGAAAATAATTTTTAAAAATAGAAAATGACATGAGTGAAAAATGTAAACCATAACTTTGTTATTAAATATTTAAAGAGTGATATAGCAGGAAACTATAATTACTAGTACAGTTGGTAAGATGAGAAAAAGAAAACAGTGAGTTTACTGTATTAAAGAAATGAAAATTTGACCAACTATACCAACGGATTTCATTTAGAAAATACTTAGCTTTTGAGGTTGCATAGTTTACCATACAGGACACTAATTTATCTTTTATAAACTTGAAGCTTGGAACTAGAGATATTTTTATGATGAATTATACATATGTCATATATTAAAACTGTATCAAAAAATGTTAGTGGTCTACTAAGCATTTTAAATTAAAAATTAAGAGTTATAGAAACAAAAGTTCTAGTAATTTTTAATATAGAGAAGGGAATCTCTTGAGCACATAAAAAGTGTTCCTCAGTGAGAAGGAGAGAAAGGTAACAGTGAAGGAGGACCCCGGTTAGAAAAGCCTGTACCATTACAGTAAGGACATACTACATACTACCTCAGTAGGTAAGTTTAGGGAACTGATATATTATCCAACTGACTATGAGGTTTGTTGGCTATTTATGCTAGACAGTAATTGGGCTGAATTCTTCCATTTAGATGTCACTGGTTTATGTATGTACAAAAATTATAAAGGAAAAAAACTGAAAAGCAAAATTTGCTTTAAATCATCTTCTACTTAAGTTAATTTAATAAATAATTCTGTTCCCTTTGAAGAGGGACAGCTATCTTTTAAAGACAGATTTTATGAAAGCACAACACAGACACTGGTTGCAGAACAAAACCACTGTGCTCTTAACTGGTCCTTTTCCCATTTCTGACCTTGCCATGTCATCTGAAGGACGGAAAACCCACTGGTTCCTTTTCAGTGGAATTTTTCCATCTGGTATTTTTATACCTACTAAGTGAAAACTGCATACTAATATAGCATCAGTTTTAGGTATTCATCATTTGAATCTTTATAAAAGCCTAGTAGTGTGAATAGATTAAGAAAACTGCATATGCACTGTAATATGGGCAGCCTTTTTTGACTTCATCATTCTTCGACTTCTACAGGGCAGAACACATCCTAGAGAATATGTCATTGATCTTAGAGCATGAAGTGTATCACAATAAAATGGGAAAATGATACATCTGCCATTGGGCAAATTTACAAATTTATCAAAAGATAGAGAAAAACACAACATAACTTGAGAAAAAGTGTATCACTCAAACTAGAATATTCAAACTGGAATGGAAAAGACTACAATCGTTTGACAATGTTTATCAAAAACAACATATTAAAAAAATTTTAATGTAAGGTTTGAATTCAAATTTTAAAATTACTATTTGAGGGCAACATACCCTAAACTCAGGAAAACACAACACTAGGATGAGACATATAAGTTGAAGATGGTGCTTTAAATTGAACCTACCTTGCCAAACATGGAATCATTTGCCAAAAAGGAAAGAAACTACCTGATCACAACAGTCTCAGAAAATACAAATTAAACCTTCATTTATGATGTGAAATCTGTTAATAAATCAATCCATCTAATATGATGCTCATCTCAGTTTTTCAGTTGTTTAAATAACGGTGTTAAGTAATAGTATAGCACAACTAGGGAAATTATAAATATTTAAGAAGATTAAAATGTCAGTAGGAAACACATTTCACATGGATTAAAAGAAAAGCATCCATTCAAAAATACTGAATAAGAAGTCAAAATAATTCTATTTAGAACTTTAAAAGAGAAAGACAGCAGCCCAAAAATCCAGTTGGAAAGATAAGAATAAATATACAAACTGTTAAGCAAAGCCAGGAATATAGATTACTTTGAAACATCTACGTACATCCATTTTAATGAAGAATTAAAAGATACAATGTGTTAAAGACATATTCAAAAGACTAAGACAGATAAGTCAAACTTTGTTTATATCCTAAATAATTACAAGACAGTGAAAATGTAGTGTAATTCACGTTTTCTTTCCAGTTGAAAAACTTCTATCCATTGCCTCTATCTTTGGTGTCACTGCCACCAATAAACACAGTATACAGCTTAGAAACCCAATTACTACCTTCAACTAGGAAAAAGTAAATCAACATTATTTCTTTAAAAGTAAGATAAAAAGCATGTGGTCCCACTTACTTTTGTCTCATGGTCCCATGATATTCTGAAACATCATGCCTAAATGTAGACGTTTAAAAGGGAATAATATAATCACTTGCTATAATGGCACCAAAAATTTAGCTACTGTACACTGGTGTGATGACAGCTAGTCGTATGCAGAGGCTACAGGACGACATGATACACAGGAAGTGTTCAGTTTAATGGGAAACTGAAACAGGAATAATATGACGGCTGCATGTCAATATGCTACAGCTTTGTCCTCTTGCAGTTTAAAAGGATAGTGTAATTACCTCAGATTTACACAAAACATCATGAAACATGGTAGTTGTTCATGATTAAAATAAAATAGCAATGTAAATTAACTTAACAGTTAAATATATTCACATGATCACCACTGTGAGTCAAAATGGCCACTAGTGAAGTTACACAGCAATATATATGTACATAACATTTGCCACAACAGTGTTTGTAGGTTCGACTTTTTGCAGACCAGGTAATTTCACGAGACAAATAATCCTGCATCAATTCTTTCATATCATGAAAGGAATTAAATGTTGTAAGTAGTTTCATTCCTCTGGGGGAAGGGGAGGGGGAGGGGGGAGACCCTCTAAAACATCAGTGCACATCGAAGAGAGTTCTACCTTCTGGAATATTGGAACTTGCTGACCAAGATTCGACTCTTATAAGCTGAGGATAAACAAATCTTAGGATTTTAAAGGATCTCATAGTATTGTCATCGACATTTAGCAGGTGTTTGCCACAAAGAGGAATCCCAAGTCCTACAGCAGAGCCTTCTGAGAATACGGTTGCTGTGGCGGGGGTGGCTGTTGACTGCCTCCTGGCTGAGACAGCACGGATGTTAAATTATAGTTTGGCACCTGGGATATGTTAGTTCCCGCATTCTGGTACAGAGTGACATCGGTGGCAGCAGCCGCAGCAGCAGGAGGAGGACTATACACTGCAGTCTGGCTGGGATAGGTACCTCCTTGAACGGAACTGACCATGGCGCTGTGGAGGGGAAAAAAAAACTCAGTTAGGTAACTGCTGACTCACATAGCCATTTAGAGAGAAACAGGAAAGCCACTCATTAACCATTCACTCATTCATGCAATCCATGCACTAAATATGTATTAAATACCTGTAATGTGCCAAACACTATTATTTACGCACTGGGATATCATAAAGAGAGAAGGGGAGCAGAGGCCTACCATCAAGGAGCTTACATTCTAATAAGGAGAAAAAAGACGATAAATATATAATATGTCAAGAGGTAGTAACTGGTATGAAGAAACAACATATGGCAGGAGAACCAAGAGTTGCTGGGACAAGAGCTTCCTGTTTATCTAGGGTGGCAGGGGAAGGCCCCTCAGACACAGGAACGTACAAGCCAGGAGGGAGTGATACTGATTATCTAGGGGAAAAGGTGTTTCAGGCAAAGAGAACAGCAAGCCTTTGAGAAGAGAAAATGCCAGGCATGTTCAACAAACAGCAAGGAGGCCTTGATGGCTGAAGCACAGTGAGCAGAGGTGAGAGTGGCACAGGATGGATGGGGAGAGGAGCCCTAGAATACATGGGCCGGGCAGGCTAGGATAAGGGTTCTGCTTGTGTTGGGGTGAGATGGAAAGACACACAAGAGTGATGTGATCTGGCCTGGCTTTAACAGTCTCACCCTGGACCCAGGGCAGAAGCAAGGAGACCTGACTGGAGGCTGCTGGAATGGTCCAGGTGAGAGCGATGGTAGAGAGCCGGGGAAGCGTCAGATTTTGAAGGGAATTCCATCACAGAACGCCTGAGGTAAAGCCTGAGAACTAAGTTACTGGTGGAGCTATTCACTGAAACAGAAGAGACCACAGATAAGGACCGCAGCAGATGTGGGGAGGGAGAATCCCAGTACAGTTTTGAACATGTCGTATGAAGTATCTAAGAGATTCCCAAGGAAAAGATAAGGAACAGGTGGTCAGCTATGAAAGTCTGAGTCCAGCAGAGGTGAGGACGAGGAGCATACCTCTCTGGGAGTCATCAGCGTACACACAGCGTTCAGAGTCACGGGCCTCAATGAGATCCCCTAGGGAGTGACTGAACAGAGGGAAAAGCAGTCCATGTTTTGAGCAGGCAGATAAAGAAAGAGTAGGCAAAGAAGACTCAAGAGTGGCAATAAAGTAGAAGGAAAACAGCAAGGACGGGCACGGCCAAGTGAAAAAAAGGATTTCAAAAAGGAAGTGACCACGGGGTCTGGCCATGTGGAAATCACTGGTCCTTTAAGACCAGCTCTGGTGGACTAGGGAAGAAGAAAACCGGTAACCTCCTTTCTCTTACTTTCCTGAAAACAGAGAAGCAAATAAAAGAGACCTTCTCTCTACTCCCACCCAAACATCTATCAATCAACTACCTGTATCCACACCCCCGATGTATCCTGCTCTCCCTCCTGCTGTAACTGACCACCTGCCAGGCACCCTCCACGTGGGCACTGCTCCCACTCCACAGAAAAGAAGTCCTTCAGAGCTGTCTTCACTTATGTCTCTGCTACTTCTCATCCCACTCCCAACCTCATATTCGAGTTTTCACCATGTGGAAGATAGCAAGTTAACTACATAAAGAGACACACTAAGAGCTTTAACAATGAGATTCCCCTCCACGTTTCTATGCAAAACATAAAACAAGCTATACAAAGGGCAATTGCCTACAATTTTCAAAACACTGTCTATTTCTAAACTTTTCTTCAAGTGCTAGATTGTTTATCAATCAGATGTTGGTAAATTCAGTGCTTTTGTACTCTGCACAAATTAAACCAGTTCATTATTATAACAGACAGTCATTTACTGCTACATTCCACCAACTAACGTAACCACTTAGGTAATGCTTAAAGGCAGCATCCACTATCAGTCCATAGGTGGTGTGTTGTGAGATATAAAGTATCACAAGAACTCAGATTTCATGCTGTTAGTCACACCATTAAGGGCCACAATAATGCTATTTATAATGTTGAGACTAAGGGCCAAACTCTGGTGCCAAAATGCCTAGTTTTGTATCTTAGCTAAATGGGACCTTAGTCCTCCCTCCCTGTCTCAGTTTCCTCATCTGTAAAAGGGGGAAGACCGTGTACCTGCTTCATGGGTTACTGGAGTAAGCGAGTTAACACATGTAGACCACAGAGCATACGGCCTGGTGCTTACACGACATCCCATAAATGTTAGCTGTTACCCTAATCACTCCCACTCTGTGCTATACTCCTCTCAACTTACAGCCCTACCGCTCACCCAACCACGCAGCGGTAAAAACCCAGCAATTCACTGAATACCTTTCTCTCATATCTCTGCTCTGCACTGTCTCCCCACCTTGTTACCTACAGTCATTTGCTAATGAAATAACTCTTTTCTCATTCCTATCCTACAATTAGACACCATTTCTGGCCTAATATACGAGTCTCCAGGCTCCTACTCTAGTCCCTCTGATCCATCCATGGTACCACCACCAGAAGGTCTTTATGGGCTTTCCCAGACGAGACCCAAGCTCCTTAACAAGTTATCCAGGACCATTCATTCAAGTCCAAGTGTATCTCTCACATCTCCCACCACAGACTTTAATCCTTCTGTCACGCTGTACTGTTGGTAATGCTCACCACATACTATGTGTTTTCATTACTCCCCATGTTACTCATTCCAGGGGTACCATGCCATTCTACAGCATGTCATTTCAACAAAACATGAGAACCATGTCTTTGTTCATGAAAGAAAACCTTTTACTTTTTTCTTCCAGGCTAAGAATAACTTTGAGCATATTTTCTTGGAAATCTTCCCTGAATCCCCTGAGACTCCTAAAACATAGCTTCATTTGTAATTTATGTTGTAATTTTATATTTTGTGTGTATTTGCCTCTACTAGCCAGTAAGCACCTTGAGGCCAAGAAACTCTAAATCAATGGTCAACTAATGTTTGACCAGGGAGCCAAGAATATTCAATGGGGAAAGAATAGTCTCCTCAATAAATGGTGTTGGGAGAACTGGACAACCACATGCAGAAGAATGAGAAAGGACCCCTGTCTTACACACATCACTCACAAAAATGAACCTGAAATGGATTAAAGACTTAAATAGACCTGAAACTGTAAAACTCATAGAAGAAAAAATAGAGTAAAAAGGTCATTCACATTGGCCTCATTGTAATTCCCTGGATATGACAGCAAAAGCAAAAATCAGTAAGTGGCACTACATCAAACCAAAATGCTTCTGCACAGCAAAGAAGACCATCAACAAAATGAAAACAGAGAATCTACAAAATGGGAGAAAATATTTGCCAATCACATAATCTGATAAGGAGTAAACATCTGAAATACACAGAGAACTCATATAACTCAAAAGCAAAAAAAAAAAAAAAAAAACCTAACAACTTGACTAAAAAAATGGGCAGAGGACTCGAATAAACATTTTTCCAAAGAAGGAAGGTCAGTCAGGTGGTCAACAGGCACATGAAAAGGTGCCCAGCGTCACTAATCATCAGGAAAAAGCAAATCAAAACCACGGGATATCACCTCACACCTGCTGGAACGGCTATTATCACAAAGTCAAGAAATACCAAGTGTTGGCAAGAATGTGGAGAGAAGAGAATCCTTGTGCAGTGATGGCGAGACTGTAAATTAGTGCAGCCACTATGGAAAGCAGTATGGAGGCTCCTCAAAAAATTAAAAACAGAACCATCATGTAATTCAGCAATCCCACTTCTGGGTATATATCCAAAGGAACTGAAAGCAGGATCTCAGAGATACCTGCACTCGTATGATCACTGCAGCATTACTCACAATAGCCACGATACAGAAACACCTAAGTGCCTGCCAAGGGATCAATGGATAAAGAAGGTTAGACACACACACACACACACACTCTCTCTCTCTCTCTGAATATTATTTAGCCTTGAGAATGAAGAAAACTCTGCCCTTGTGACAGAGAAAGACACTGTATGATCTCATTTATATCTAAAGCATCAAACTTGGACAAACAAAAAAAATCCCTTTAATAGAAGCAAAATGAAATAACTGACAAATAAGTATACAGTGTTGGTCACCGAAGCATTATCATTGTCACCACCACTCAGGATAGGTAAACCAATACCACCTTCCCCAGTTATCAGTAAGATCGTCCTAGGGTGACAGAAGTCTGGAAAAGTGATAACCCTAAAATCAAAATTCAATGTAAAAGAATAAGAAATTGCCTCCTAGGTAATGAACTGAGGAACACTAAAAAACCTGCCTATCAAAAATGGAGGAAAAATTCCTCATCGACCTTGATTTACTGTTAGAAAGCTTGAATCAAGTATGTCGTATGCTCTGTTTTGCCATCAATTTTCTCATTCAGACACACACACAAACTGTTCTTATGCATTTGTAAATATATATGTTACACATTTATGTATCTTTTTAAAAAATTGCCTCAAAGCCTTCGTGAAGCCTTTTCAAGGAATTAAAGTATGTATCTCCTTGGCCTAACACAGTCCTTGAAATTCCCATCAACACTTGAACATTTACATATCAAATATTTACTGAGTTCCTACCCAGTGTAAGGCTCTGTGCTACATAGTGCGGCTATAAAGATGGAAGATTCAGCTCCAGCTCTCAAGAGATGAGAGCTCAGTGGGGAGAAGATTACGAGACTAAATGGTGTCCCTGGGTCCTGCGACAGCAACTGAGAAGGAAGGGGTGGAAGGCAAGAGAGGTACCGGCGTTCTAGTCCAGACGAAGCTAAGAACTGAAGAATAAGGAGGAAACAGCCAAGCAAAGAGGGTGAAATATCTCAAGGAGATGCTCAATGAAAAGCATCCATTGAAATGTACATGCATTTCTCAAGAGGTGACATTTATAGCCCCAGTATGTCAGCAGAGTCGGGCCCTGGACTACAGCGCAGGTCCTGCGCCGGGGATCCACATCCAGCCTGCAGAGGTGGACTGAGCAACGCCCAGCAAACAGCAACAGGGCGCTTGGGCTCTGTAGCACAACGTGGTTTAAGCACCTACCAACAGATGATCTCACTTGCAAGGACAATGGCTCAAGGCCCTGAACTAAGACAAGTCACCTCCAGTAACAAGACAGCTGGAGCAGCGTGTGATTCAGAAACAGAGGATGAGCTGGGGAAGAGGCGGCCTTTCCGGCTGATACTAACGTATCTGAGGGGTTCCTACGTTACTCGTGCACACTAGCTAACTTCTCAGCAATGCCTCCTTCTGCTCACTCTGGTCTCATTTTACAGCAGCATGTTACGCTCTCAATAGCTGCTCCCTGCCGATTTCCATCTTTCCACTCATTTTCACCAAACTGCAACTTAAAAAAAATTTTTTTAATTCCCAGGACAGACAGAAAGAGCTACACCTAACATTTTCTCCTGAGCTCTGTAACCCAGTAGGGGGTGCTCTTTTGTTTTTTTTGTTGTTGTTGTTTGATGCCTGTAAGAGGCTTCCCCACTACCCTACATAAGGTCACCTCAGAATACTGGATGTGACCACAAAAATACGTTTGAAAATCCCCAAGCATCCCTAGAGTGTGACTTTTTCGAGGATGAACAAGACAACAGTGTGGGCAGTAGAGGAGGAGCATTCTGGGCAACTCCAACATTGATGGAAAGCTTCCTAGAAACTGTGCCTGTGCCACCAAGAAACCTCTGTTGCAAGTCAGAATGTCATGACTTCTGGAATTACACACTGATGAACTCTTAAGCCTATCTTTTATTCGACTCAAAGAAATGACTTCAGCTTAGATGTCCACTGAAGTAGAAAAGGCATTTACATAATTATGAGTAACACAATGTATAAATATAATCATTTACAAGACAAGGGCATCACAAGTAAATGACCAAAACAACTGGCCTGGCATTTCACATTCAGCGACTCGTCCCATGAACCACGGGGACAGAGAGCTTCCCGTCCTGTCTCTTTGCAAATGGTTTACCTTGCTGTGATATACACTACATCCCCACACACGGTAAAAAGAAGGAAATATTTATCTTTAAGAGGCAGCACAAAACTATAAATTCTAAAATAGTAATTCTAGACATTTAGATTTTACATGAAACCTGTGTAAAAGGATAATAAATTAGTTACCAACATAAATTTACATTTTGTTCAAGTCCTTAGCTTATATCATCAGAGACTCAAATAAAAACAAAAGACATTATAATAGGTGTATATAAAAAACCAGAGAAGACAGCAGTCGCAGGAACCAGTCGGACAGAGGGTCCCCAAGGAGCCCGCTCACCACCACAAACGGGGCCGACCGTGCGCTGTCAGCGGTGACATCTACCGTGGATTTTTCCTCATGCACTTTTTATGGTTACAGGATGATCACGGCGCTAAGCACAAGCAACAGTCAACAATCAAATTACTTGGGGTAAGAAGCCTGGGTCGGCTGGCTGGGCGGGGCGGCGCTGGCCGGCACGGCTCCTTGGCTGAGAGAGGGCAGCTGCTCCGGGGGGAGGCCGTAGCTCTGCAGGTGGCTCAGCTGCGCGGCCCCCGCGACCAGGTAGGCGGCGCTGTGCGGCGGGGCGCCTGCGTACACCTGGGGAGAGCGGGGTAGGACAGACTTGAACAGGCAGGCTCAACTTCATTTGCAGAGGCATTCGGTTACAGAAAGAACAATCGCAGCTCTGAAACGTTTTGTCTGAAGTTACTTCTGCTGACCGACATTTTAAAAAGGACTTTTCGGCGAAGTGGGCTTCCGACAATTTCTGTTCTTAGGTCAACGTTAGCTAAGCTCGTGTTTATCTCCGTGCAGAGGCAGTAAAGGAACTTACCTTGAAACGTCATACTAATACAATTTCTCCTTGCATGTTGATATTGTAAGTATCTCCCTAAAAGGAAGCCCAACAAATGCTCGAGAGGTGTCTGAATTCACTGTTTTATAGCAACACTCTGCATTTATTTACAGATCTCTACATACAGATATAGATACAGATGTATTTCCTGCATTACAGCTTGTTAAGCATAGGGCAAGCTAAGCTTCTACAGCAGGGTCAGCAGACTTTTTTGTTAGGGGTCCAGTCAGTCAATGTGTCAGGCTTCGTGGGCCACATGGTCTCTGTCACAACTACTGAGCTCTGCCCACAGAGAAAACAGCCAGCCAGAAACAATGCAAAACCAAACGAGAATGCATTTCAGGAAGAGTATATTTTAAAAAACAGGTGGGAGGCTAGATTTTGCCGCAGGCCATTGTTTGCCTGCCCCTGCATCTAAAAACTCTACTTGGGTTAAGCTAAAGAGATTAAAGTCTTAAATGCCCCTCAAATCTTAAATGCACATAACATTTTAATTTTCTGTGGTATTCATTAGATTCTTCCATTTCACATGTTTGAAAAGAGAACTCCCCTGTACACGTAGTAAGCCTCTTACCAGCTGTTAAGACAGTAACACAGTCATCATCTTAGCACTTCGTTAAGCCACACGAGACTCACTACACACCGAATCCAAAAGATCTCCATTATAATCACAGTCCAGGGCTCATAAATGCAGTATTTTTGTTTGTTTGTTTGCCAAACGTGAAGGGTTTTATGTTTGCCTGCTGGCTCACACTGGTACGGAGACTCACAGCTGGGTGTCACCTGGCCCCGGTTTCTCAGGCCCAGCTGCTCTCCTCCAGGGCTCTGGCCCCTCACTTTAGGAGAAGTGGACCATGCCAAGAAAAAATGATCTGCACAAAGCGTATAATCTTCTACCTGGATAAAATGTGGTGTCTGGCTAATTACTCCCTATACCCTGAACTTCTGTGTTTCTGGGAGAAGTTTCTGGGGTGACCAGAGGAAAGCGCTCTACACCACACTACACATTTTCTCACGTAGCAGGAGGGCAAAAATCCGGATTAAAGCAGCTTACTATGAAATCAAAAACTGTGGATGATCACAAGAATTTAGTAATAATTAGGGGGTTTACTCAGACAGACAAAAATTGTAGTTCTTAAACAGATAATTAGATATGAAGCTTTAAAAATATATAGATGTTTGGCCCTCATGCCTGGATTCAATAGGTCTGGGATGGAGCCAGAGCATCTGTTTGGTTTTTTGTTTGTTTGTTTGTTTTAAAGCTTGACAGTGATTGATGTACATCCCTGCAGAAAAATAATTTTTTAGAAAAAGGACTACTGTTTTATTTAGTATACTGTACTATACACTGTATTTGTCAAGTAAAAAGATCTTTTAACCTTTATTTTTACTCTAAACATTACTTTTAGAAAGTTTCACATTTTAGAAAAACACAGCTATTCCAAATAATTGCAAATATGTTTGAGAATTTAAAATGAAATACGTGAGTTTTTAAAAGCTTACCTGAGAACCAGAAACACCAGATGACTGAATATAATACTGCTGATTCTGTAATTTTGCGTACATGGAATACATCGGGTCTTCATTCATTAACTTGGTATACAAGGAAAGTGCCTCCATCACTTTCACATTAAGTTCTGAGAGTTCTGAATGCTTCCTGAAATGTTACACAATAATTTAAAACACAACTGCTATTTAAATGATATAATGGTCTAAGTAATAAGATGCATCAAAATAGCAAAAATAGCAAAAAAGTGGTGTAAGCAGACATTATTAAAAATTGACCTTCGTGACAAAAAAATATCCTATAGTTTAGCTCCAAGGCAACCAAAACTGTTTTAAGATTGAGGTGGTGGGCTAGAACTCTAGTTTATTGCACATGACTTTACTTCAAAATACCTAGATTCTCTAGTTATTAACAGATGGGTCATTTGTGGGCTCTGATGATGTCACTTACAGCAAATACGATTACAACAGTTAACTCCTATTTTAAAAAAAGACTAACATAGTGAAAGTCAAATAAATCCTCACTTAAAAAGGGGGTGGGGAGGAGAGGCTGGTCTAATTTCAATTCCCATATCTAGCAGAAAACGAGTGAGTGAGAACTGGCCTATTTTTAAAATAAAAATAAAATGCAATAATAAAAAGGCAGCTCTATTCCAACAGCAGTTTAGAGAGGTCTGTAGGGAAAAGGGTAAACAACATAGATTAGTGCCTGCTCTTTTACCGATCAATATCCTCCAGCTTCTCATCAATGAGAGGTCCCATCTGGTGACACAGCGCTACGATGACAAGATTTGAAGAAATATAAGAAAATGTAGCAAAAGAAAGCAAATCTCTGAAGGATATTTATATAATTTAAGGCCTAAAAGATCTAATTTGGAATAATACAAATTCTATTCATTAAACTTAGCCCACAGAGCCCAAGGTTGACTTTCCTGGGTATTTATAAAATCAATACTTTAGATTGACTGTATTGATGTCAGAAATTCTTTAATACATATTTCCATTTTATAACACTTAAAAATGTTGAATAAAATATTTAATTTGGGTAGAAAAGTATAAGAATTTGAATTCTACCAAAGATTTAAGCTGCATATAATCATGAGACTGGTCACAGAAGAGTGAGAAATGTGAACAATGTTTATATCATTCTCAATTTTATTTAAATCAAACCATTCTGCAACAGAATACTAGACATAACCTCTAATTATTCCTTATTTCCAAGGTAAATGAAAAACAAGGTTTACCTTCAAGATGAAGTAACTCTGGAAGATCTGGTTGATCATCACTGGGATCTGTACTTTGCAACATCTGTAGCAACTGATCCATTTTATCCTGTAGGAATTAAACAGTTATAAAAAGCAACAATCATACAATGAAACCTTCTCACTGTGGTAATTGGGTAACAGATAGAGAACTCTTGGAATTCAGACATGAAGACTTCAATTTTGCTTTTATGGATTCAATATCCGTGTGTTCTCTTTACAACGATGTGAAGTCAGAGCCTTGAAAGCTATTCCTACTTATTTTTGAAACTGCTAACAGAAACTCTCTTAAATGAGAAGAAAGAGAACAACATTTAAACTCACAACATGTGAGCTCTTTAATCTCTTACGTCATGCTAGTGGATTTCTGTGTCACTCTGTTTGGGGCAGCTGTGGCCTTGCCATGCTGACAGGTGTAACCTCTCTCTCAAGACGGCATTACTTATGACTAACAACCCCGTCATTACGTCTCCACCATGGAGGACAGCGCAGCTGTTTTGGTAAGGCATTGCTCCGCTATATTACAGCTGTACTCCTCCTAAGCAGCACCAGAAGGATTTATTCTACATTCTCTTTCCACCAGTGTTTCAGTTTATCATCAAAAATAGAAGGGTTTGTGGTTCCTTTATTCTCCTGTGTAAAAAGGCTTGGAGGGATCTCGAGGCAATGAGTCGGATCTACTTCAGAATCTTCTGCTGTAAGACCCACGGAACTAATGAAGCCATCATTACATAAATACCTCTATAAATTGTATTAGTATGTACATATTCATATGTAGGTTTAAAAAAATCAAAATATAGAGCTCACATACCAAAGAATACTACTGTAGTAATTCCAAACATTTCTTCATTCAGGTTTTACATGGATACACTACTGAACATCAGGGTAATAGTGACATCAGGTAAATAATTTAAAGACTGTGAATTCTAAGCAAAGCAGTTATTTAAACCAAAACAAAACCCTATGGTCTGCGCACACGGAGAACAGTTTGAGAGATGAATTCATCACTAGATGGTGAAAGTGACACAAGTGTAATTAAAAAAAACTCTTCTGAAGTCAAAAGAATTTTGTGTTTTGAAATGGATGCTATATTTCAATGTAAAAGATTCACAATTTTCATTTTCAGTGGTCTTTACAAAAGGCTGCACAGGTCAGAATAGCCTGCTTACAGCCAAAAAAAGAGGGGGTGGAGGTACAATGAGAGTGAGGAGTCAACTGACACGTGGATAATTTGTGTTCTATTTATTTGTTTACAGAATACTACACCCTATTCGAAATTACCTACTATCAGACAAATAAGGTTTCCAGATAGACCACTAGTATGACGCTACAAATGCTGCCTTATATAACCCCAATTCTCCTGGACCCCTCTGCATTCCCTGGCTCTCAGCAGTGTTCTACAGCCTATTTCTCTAAAAGAGTGCTCTTCAAACTTTCTGCTTCTGGCTCCCCTGAAAGAAGCCTAAAAATCCACAAATCCCTTCACATATTTTAAAGATGACATCTCATTTTTCATCATTAGCTTAAAATGTTACAGAGGATATAATTTCCAGAGCATTAAATACTAGGATTTAGAAGTAAAAGTCACACATTCCTTTGAATATGCCCCAAAAGGCTCACTACAACAGTGTTTGTAATAGCAAAAACAAAACAAAACAAAACAAAAACCCCACAAAGAACTGTAAACAACCTAATCATCCAACAACAGAATAACGAAGTCATGATAAATTCAGTCTATGGAATATTAAGGATTTCAAATAATGAGGGACATCTCTATGTACTGACATGGTAAGAATGGGTGGGACTAGAGAGGAAGTTTCAAGAAGAATCTTTGCTTCATCTACATTGTTTGAATTTTTATAACAACAAAATACATGCAATAATCAAGTACTGAATTTTATTAAAGAAGAGAAGAAAACCATTTCAAGTTCAATACCAAGTATCATGCTCTCACACAGGAAATCACTTACTTCATCAATGTAGGCTTGTTCCGGCTCTGGTTCTATTGTTTCTATCTGAACATCATCACTAAATTGTACCGTCTTCTTCTCTGTTTTAACTGTAAAACATGCAACATTTATCTTTTCCTTATCATAAATTTAAATTTTTATTTTAAAGCACTTTTGGTTCCAGGAGAGAATTTATGTTTTTCTTATATTCCCTTCAATCTGAGAGACACAATTTAATGGATAATTAGGTTGCAGATTTAGGCAATAATGACAAAACATTACTTTAGGATATTCTGTGATGATTTCTTAATTTTCTCTTCTAAAGATTGTATCTTTTCCAGAACAGAGATTTCTCTAAAAATAAGAGATGTATTTCTGAAACAAAGATTAATCACCTATTTACACATGAGAGTTTGGTAAACTGGTAAACAAAAAGCAAAGTTTTACACTGGCATAAATGAATTCTGCTATTCGAAATAAATCCTCTTTATAAATTACTAGTCCTTTCACAGAAAAATTTCCATTTTTCCACAGGCCATGCTATTTCAATATAATGAATTGAGAAGTTAGCTGTATGTTCCCCACACACCACTCAGACTTCTTTTTTTTTTTTTTTTTTTACTAAGGGAATGACATCCAGGCCAGTGGAGAACTTTACAAGTGGCCTTGGCAGGGATCTGCATTTTCCACTAAATCAGTCTATATTTTTTAGTTACGGTATTCTTTGCAATGAAAAGGTGGTTATTAAGGGATCTGCAAATCAGAAGCATATATTTCTCTTGCCCAACAAAGCACTTTTTAAAAAATATTCAATGTAAAATTAACTAGCAAATATAAAGTTATGATTAACATGGCAATTAATCTTCTCCAAAATAATACTGAGTGGACAAACAGCTTTAAAGGAATGAACTTCCTTTTTGGATTTTTTTCATACTTGTATCAATGAAGTTAATCAGTATTTCCAAAAATATTAAAGCATCAAGATGGAAAGAAGTGGTGGGAAAGGGGCAGAATTAAGAAAGGGAAATAATATATATTAAACTACTAAATGTGCGTCATGGAATATTGCATTTTCCACAAGGAACCTCCAATACAATGCTATGAGATATGCTCGTTTTATAAATGAGGTTAACAGTGGCTTAGAAAGAGTAAAAACCCTTGCATAGGAGAGAGCGCATAGATGGCAACGCCTGGATTTGAATGCCAGCTCTACTAGCCCACACTACTGGAATCTGGCCTGTGATTTTACTCGAAGAACAAGGAGTCATACCACTTACGTATTCTATGTTGTGTGCTTTCATATAAAATGGAAATAGTTTACTTTACAGTATAAGGAATATATTCACCCACACAAGTCACCAAAAGCAAAATTTTACACATAAAAAAAGGTTTCAACTGATTTTGTTTTCCCATGGGAGAAAAAGAGCCATCTGCTACAGACATTTTTGCTTTTTATATCTTGAGCTATTAGCGAGTCGAAGGCTGGGACAGCACTGCACTGGCTGCTACCCATTAAGAGAACACATGGTAGACGGGACATCCTAACAGCTGACCACACCCATGTCTGCAGGGCTTTTTCTCCTGGGGACTAACACTATTACTATGTATGTGTGTGTATGTTTGTGTGCATATCGTGTGTATGTATAAATAACACCACATATACATATGTACAGAGATATACAGACGTCTGTGTATACATATACATGATAAAGAGCTTTAACAAAACCTTATTGCATCTCCAAAATGAAAACAAGCTAAGTAGGTCAAGCTTTCTAACTGACACATTAAGTGAGGTGGCTTCTGTTCTCCCATAAAGAACAACGCTACAAGGATCTTGCTAACACTCATTTTCCAAGCCTGAGGACTATAACGTCATTACATACGCTCCGATGCTCTGGTTTCTCTTTTAGGTGGTCCAGAGTGAGACACAGGAGAATAAATAGAATATTCATTTTAAGGCTACAGTGCTATGTGATGGGAAAAAAGATGAGATGACTACCTTATCGACATGAGATCTTGGATCTCACCTTGAATGGAAATCCAAGACAACTCTATCCCTTCCAAGATCTAATTCAAGATTTAAAAAAAAAAAAAAACCCAAACAACAAACAGAAAAAACAACCACAATCAGCCAGGTTAAAAAGTCAGCACATTATGCGCTGCCATTTAAACAAGGTTGTACAACATGGTTTTGCTTTTTTTTTTTTTTTTGAGTTTAACAAAGAGAACTCCCTTAAAGGAATGGGTACCAGATCTGTCTCCATGAAAGTAGCACAAGACATCCTGACGATAACTAGGAGAGGGCGTTGTTTTACCAAAGGTCTATAACGTCTGGTCTATTATTAAAGCCTTTTCTTGTAAAAGGAACATTTCTTGTTTTCAAAGAAAAGTACATCTTTACTGTTAATACACAGACACTTATGTATCATTTATTCTATAAATATTTATATAATCTGTATTCTGGATAAGATTCAGCATCAAGTACTGTTGGAAATAAAAAGATGACTGAGAAAAAGATCCTTTCTTAAAATTCCTGCAAACAAAAAAAGACCAAAGCTGATGGTGATTCACAGCTTTCTCTGATCTTTTCTACCTGGCATTACAGAAAGATAAGATGAGGTATTTTGCCAGATAACTGTAGCTTACTGACTTATATACAAAAAACCCTTTTAAAACTCTAAACATTTCAGTGGCTAATAGAACTCTTTCTAGATGAAACATATTTCTGTTTCCTTAAACAGAAGATTATGACTTAATATTGAGGACTCACACTCATCATTATGAGGACTCCTTAGAGTGATATGTAGAAATACAGTGAACCACCTACCAACATTTTAATAGGCTACTGGCAGTTACATCTCCTGCAACGATTGTGACTGCCAGTAATACCACTTTTCCCCTTTGGCCCCACTTTCTAGTCTATTTCTCCTAGTCAGCAAAGGCTTGGAAATCCAAAAATTATCTACATGATTAGTTATGGCCCCTTCTGAATATCTGATATGGTGGCTTAGGAAAGCCGTTATGTTGCTTAGAGGCCACTGTTTCCAAGTCTGGGGCTAGACTCTAGACAGATGGTCAAATAGGAAGAAAAGAAGAAAAGCTTCCCTGTAAGCTTACACTGAATGTCACATTCTTATCAACTGAAAACAAAAATACATAATGCATAAATTCTGTAACACCTCTTAATTTTCATTTTTACAAGGACATATAAATATATACATATATATGTATTTTTTTTTTAAAGTCCATAGTCTGTCTAAAGATAATTTTGGTAGACAGATGATTTCAATTCTTGGATTAGATGATTCCTCATAAGTAATTTGACTGGGGAGGTGCATTTTTTAAGGGACAACTTGGAGGCACTAACATTTGATAGTCCCTGCTCCAGAAAGTTGAACTTTAGGGAATTATGGATTATCATCCATTGACAGACTGGAAAATACTTACTCATTTCCGGTTCAGCAGTGAGATCTGCAGTCACAAAATTAGAGGGAAATAACCCCATGCCTTGATGGGTTTCACCTTTCCACCAGTTGGGGTCACTAAGAGCAAGAAAAAAGAATGCTTCACTATAACAATTTTTATTTCTATGTATCTTTACTTTTTATAGTGTTTAACTTACCTTACTAACCAGATCTGAATCTCACAACAACCCAACGAAGGAAGAAATGAATGTATCACTATTACAACTAATTTTCAAGTAAACATAAAGCTGTAGTAAAAATAACCAGATGCCCAGCTTCAACCCTCATAGCCCCCAGTGGTCCACCATGGAGATGGCAGCATTAAATATTTTGCCACAAAAACAAAAACAAAACAGATACACTGTATCACCTCCTCTATGATAATGTAAATGTACATAATTCCACATAAAAGGAATTTGTTCCATACTGAAGTACTATTCTGTGGAAATAAATTAATTCAGTATATTATGTATTTCTTATAAATTCCATAAATATGTGTATTTGGTATATTCTCTAAAGTCTTAACTTTTATACTAATTTAACAATCTATAATACTGGATGGAACCAAGAATGAATAGATTAAACTAGACCCTCAAAACAAAGACCATTTAAACAAAGAGAAAAAATGAAACTACAAAATAAGAATCCAGACGGTGTGACATGAGCAAAGTCATACAGAAAAACTACTTGCTTCAACATTTTATTTTTTTGTTTGAGAAGGCATTCAGCAGGAATAACGTGAAACACAGAATATGTTCAATATTTTCGTATGAATGTTGAACTTAATATTAACCATCACCTGTCATCAAGAACGGTAATAATTTCTCCAGCTTTAAAAGTAAGTTCATTATCTTCAGCAGCTTCAAAGTCATATATAGCACGAACTTTTCGGCCCTCATGTTGGTGGTTAGTTAAGAGGTTGGATGTGCTTGGATACAAAGTAGAAAGGGTGGTCGACTGCTGCCTTTGTTCTTTCAGGGACAACTCAATGGCTAGAAAATAATGGGTTTAAAAAAACCCAAAATGTTAATATATCCAACAATCATAAGTAGTACAAAAAGATATCTGAAAGTAAAAAGTATTCCTCTTTCAATAATGTAGTGGGAAACCAGGACATATCCATGATATGATACAACATCCTGAACAAAAAATACCTTCAACAATTTTATTCATTCATCCACAACTGAAAGTTTAAAAAATAAATTAATTTAAAAAACTGTACAGCATGATGACTATTTTTACTAAACATACAATTTAAATTATTCTGGGTAACAAAAAGATATAAACTCTCAAATCAATTTTTTTAATTTAGCTGCAGATATTTTACATTTTCATTCATCTTTTCAATGTATTTCTACAGCTTAAGTTCACTAAATAATAATCACAATCACTTGAGAAGTCAAGAGCCCCAAGCTTGAGTCTTTCACTGAGGACTTACTAAATCAGTCTCAAAGGCAGTATCTGAGAATCTGTATTTTATTGTTCCAAAGGTAATTTTTATGTAATCAGTCTAAACTGGAATTTGGAAATGACTACAGTTAAGTCTCACCTAACAAATCCCCCAAATAGATTTCAGATGTGTCTGCTCTATCTCCTCCCCCAATGCAGGTCATCACCATGTGTCACTCAGTTACTGTAATGTAATTTTAACAAACTGATTACCTTACTTTCAACTCAACCCATAAACTCCTTTTTCCCTTCTACTTCTGTTCCAGATCAATGAAGGCCAAACGGGAAAACAAAACTTTAAAACTATCGTATGAAAACATAAGAAAATATCTTTTGGGATCTTGGGGTACAGAAAAATATCTTAAGACTTAAAAAAAGCAAAAATCATAAAAGAAAGTCAAGAATTTCAACTCCATCAAAATTTAAAACTTGTTTAATATAACACGACATTATCAAAGTTAAATTGTAAGCCAAAACCCAAGAGTAGCTATTACAACAGATGTAACAGGCAAAAAATTAATATCCAAAATAAAGACTTTCTATACATCATTAAAAAATAGAAAAAGAAAGACAATCAGAGCAGCTAATAAACATACCAAAAATAAAAGGACTGACCCTCATTAGAAATCAAGAAAAGTAAAATTAAAATTAGATATTTCAAACCTATCAGTCACGAAAATTAAACTCCGACAATACCAAATATTGTCAGGAGATTAAAAATAAGAGCTTTCATATATTGCTGATGGAAAAGGAAATAATACAACTACTTAGCAAAGTTGAAGACGCACCTACTTCATAAGCCAAAAATACCACAGAATACACACACACACATACATATACACACACAGGAGAATGCAGACAAGGATACTACTTGATGCAGCATACTTGCTATAGTAAAAAAAAAAATCAGAAAACCCAGATGTCCATTAGCTGGAGGACAGATAAATTACAGGATGTACTATTAGTGCATTGGAATATTACACAGCAATTAAAACAAATGAACTTGATTTATACATCTCATTATGAATAGATCTCAAACATGTTGTTGCAGGAAAAAAACAGTGGGAGATGGTACCTAGAGTATACTGTTTATCAAAAAAGAACTTGCTGGACATAAAAAAAAGTATTTGGCATTATTTATGGCTACAAAGACAGTACAGTAAAAATATTATAGAAACATAAACTGAAAGGACACACAGGACAGCAGCTGCATCGGAAGAGGAGAGGAAAGATGTGTTAGCAAAGAGGGGAAGAAAAGGAGAAAGAACAAAGTAAGCTTCAGCTTCAGCCATAAAGTCCTATTTTTTTTTTTATTCTTAAATATCTCGGGGAGGGGGCAGAACAGAAGGAAGTATCAAGTAAGAGACCTCTCTTCCTCCCACGATCAGGAACTTAGAAGCGTACCTTTTGCTAAATCTTCTTCTTCTTTTTTGTTAGCCGCGGCACCAGGATCCTTGGCCACCAGAGCTGGACTTGCTTTTGCTTGTTCTGCAGCCTACCACAGAAAGAAGGAAAACAATCTCTGAAAGGTGTTCTCAAATTTTCCTACCCCCAACTAATCTGAGAACTTGCAAGACCCTTCTCATCAATCTGCCACAGACTTCTGAGGAAGAAAGAAACCCAACTGGAGCAGCCTCCACTTTGAAAGGAGGAGATGAGGCAGAACTGGAGAAAACAGACTGAAAGTATTTGGATACTTAGGCCCGACAGCCCGCTCACACTCTCCCAATCTGCATGAAGAGGTTCAACTAAAAGCAGAAAGTATGCAAACCAGAGAAGACGGACGAGAGGAGATTCAAACGTTTTTGGAAAATTCTAAAACCAGAAAAGGGGGTGAAAGTGGGAAGGAGATGACTATTTTAAACACGAGTAGTTCTTAAATATCTATTCAAGAATTATATTTCATTGTTTATTTCCAGATCAAAAGTCAGGATGTAGGATGTTATCTTTAGGAACCCAGGTTTATATAAATAATACAAATGCTTGTAAAATCATACTATTTTGTAAACCAAAATACTAATAGTTAATTCTGACAAAAATTATTGTCCATCTTAAACACATTCTGTAAATAAGGTAGTGTACAAGTAAATAAATACATAAACTGATTAACACTTAACGGAAATTACAAGCTTCTAAGCCTCAATGGCCACTTAGATTTTGCAAGGCCACCAAGGCAAATCAGACCCCAGCCTCATTTTCAACCATTCTATCAGTTACCAGAAACTGCTAGCACACACATACACACTCACACACTCTTACACCTCTGACACACATTTCCTTCTACTTAAAATGTCCTCCCCTCTAGCTCCTTTTATTCCACCCACATTTCTCCCTACTGAGTTTCAACTCACCACGTCAGTGAACAGCTAAAATAACACTTTCTCTATGAAACATTCCTAAACCCCTTAATTAAGCATTTCCTCTTCTGTGTTGCTCTGATAACAAGGTACTGTGATATGGGTACTTAAGAATGCAAGTTGTAGAGTCAGGCAAGCATGGTTCACATCTCAGATTCATCACTTTCTAAAGCATGAACCTTGGGTACAGGAGTCTCTTTGTGCCTCAAGTTTCTCATCTACAAGGTGAGGGTGACAATGGTACCTACACACCAGAGGCTGTCGGGAGGATTAAATACATATAGCTTCCAAATCAGATGCGATGGGGGCCACTCAGGGTTTAAAACAGAATGTATCACCCTGTCTTCTGAGATTTATAACGTATGGAGATGTAACACATGTCATACATATAACTACAGTATAAAGGATGCTCAAACCCTATGCAGTTACAAGGTTTCTATATTTTACATGGAATAAATACACTATTAACTCAAAATAGATTGTGAAGAGTTACAAATATAAACCATAATTACCAAGCAATCAATTAAAAAATGAAATTCTAAAAAATATTCAAATTACCACACACACGGCACTTAGAACAGTGTCTGGTACATAGTAACAGGCAATAAATCTCAGCTTCTATTATAATTCTCTGCTTACATATCTGACTCCATAACCAGGCTGTATTCAACATCATACTAAAATACAGTTCTATACTCTTTACTTAATATATTTTATAATGTCAAACAAATGCACAAGGCATTTATTTTTAGAAAAGCTGATTGGAAAAAAAGCTCACTGAAAAGAACTTTAAGCACCCTCAATTTGATCCATCTCTAATTGTAACCTTCCTTAGATAATAATGTTTTAATGATCATACACTTCCAAAAATATAAGTATGCTTGGTCAGAGGCAACCTTTTTCATTGTATTTGAATATCTTTTTTCACAATTGGGTGCATTTCACAGAATGATCTTTTGTGGTCTGTGAAGGGATCTGTGTTGGTCAAGAAGGAAGTGCAGAAACGAGCTATATTAAGCCCGACATTCCTGAACTGAGCTCCTTTCAAAGTTCCTTTCTATCATCAGGTTCCAAGTATAGCAACGATACTTGTCTTATTAACGAGTCAAATACAGTAGCAGAGCTAACATTACTTTTACCTCTCTGTCAAAAGTCAGCATTATGAGAACCACCGCAGCAAGAGTTAGGTGAATAAAATAGACTTTTCTTAATATTTTTATATTATTTTCTTCTGTACTTGGATGAAAAAATATACTTTAAAAAAAATCCTTATGTTTTCAGAGGCTAACAAAGATCTAGTCTGATTAAGACATAGTAACAAATTAAAGAACTAAGTGACTAAAATTTGGAGGGACTTCTGCAGTTGATCCCAGAGGATACATTTTTTCATTAAACACAAAGCTCTTTACAAACATGGTTTTCAATGAAAAGCTTTTCAGAAACTACTATTACAAAACAAAATCACCATTTTACCTCATCATAGTTCACTTTATATGCATTTTACGTATTTCTTGAAAGATGGCAACTATCCCAAAATGAGCTTTCACACATTTTATAACATCTAGATGGGGAAATACAAAAAGTAACTCCTAACTTTAGTATTGCTGATCTATGTCCTTAATCTCTGGAACAGGAGGGTAATCTAACTCCGATGCCAATCAGTAAGTAAAAGCTCTTGCCAGTGTTCACTCCACTTCTTGTCCTTTGAAGCCTAGTCCGGACAGACACATATCCACTAACCTCTACGTCAAACGGAAGGCAGGATCGTGTAGTGGAAGGAACACTGGACTGAGAGTCAGGACGCCTGTGTTCTACTTCCAGCTCTGTCACCTACTAGCTGTGGCCCTGGGCAAGTCACTTAACCACTCTGGGTCTCAGTATCCTCATCTGTAAAATGAGGGGATTAGATGAGAGGATCCCTGAGTTGTCCCCACAACTATGAGATTTTAGGTTAACCCAACACAGCTACACATCAAACAGATCATTAGTTCTCCGTCCTTTTCTTACAGAACAAGCCCCGCTGTGGACTGAATATTCAGTTTTCATTTGCACTGAAAGCTGTACTCAAGGATAGCACTGCTCAAACTTTAACGTGCATACAGGATCATCCGGGGATCTTGTTAAAATGGAGATGGTGAATCCACTGGTTGGAGTGGCACATTTCCAAGTGAGTGAGATGGTCCAGTTCTAATAAGCTTCCAGGTGAAAATGAGGATGGTAAATGAATGACATTTTAAGTAACAAGCTCTAGAATAAGTTCTCAGGGTACAGAAACTACAATTCCATGAAGCGACTACTCTTTGGTTCTCAGTAGTGAGTCTACTCTTTGATAATTAAACATTGCTTCTATTGTCAAGGATATCTTATCATAAGATACCTTGGATTACTCTGCATAAAACTATTCCTTAATTATACAGATTTTAGAAATTATTCTGGGAGTAGTAAAAGCCAGCTGTCATTTATAGATGAATTCTTCTCAAAGACATGATTTATCATCATAAAACTATTACTAAATCAAATTTTTTCAAGTAAAAGTAAAAATATCCTTTTTCTCCTTCATCTCCAAAATATATTTCTGGGTCTTCACATCTCAAGAGTACTCAGATAAACTAGAAGTGCCTTGGGAAGAAAGTCTAGAGGAGCCTGGATGAATCATTCCGTAATTCCCTTGAAGTGGTTGAAACCCCAAATGTGTGCCCTCCATAACTGAAGAGTGTTTTCTGCTCGTGTTTTCACATCACTCACTATGCCCTACCCAAGTCCATATAGTGGGGAAAGACAGCTTAGTGAACCAGCAAACATTTTAAGCCTACTCGGCTATTGGACATACTAAAGGATGGTTACCCAGAATAGGAAAAGAATAAGAATCTTTCGGTTTTTTTCTGTATGACATAAATTAGAGATTGATCCCATAATATAAATTTTTTTTTAAAGGCAAGTTAAGCCTTTCAGTCAACCATACTTATTAGGAGAAAGAAAGAAGACTTAGCCCTTATTAAGGGAAAAGATGTTTCATATGCTTCTCTTCCCAATGACCCCCTTATATCTCCTTCCCATTTTTAATACAAGTACTCATAAATTTCAAAATCAAAAGAACCTCTAAATACATCCTTAAATTTTAAGGAATCCTGGTTTTCGTGCCGTCATTCTTTGCAGATAAAATTACAGCATTAAGAGCATTTAACAAGAACGTCAGTATTAATAAAGCAGTTTTGTCAGTATTATTAAAATTATATAAAATATTAAAAATCACAAAATGTCAAATGAATTCATTTATAAAGGAGGAGAAGGTGAGGAAACGAAAGCTCGAACACATTAATATTTCACTATATTTCTCTGGCACTTTTATATGCAAGATTCTTATTAGCAAAAATACCTCTGGAGTAGTAAAAACTACCCAGGCTTGGAGAAAAAAGAAAATTCAAATAAACATGGCTACTTTAGAGAAACAAACTGTAGCACACACACAACTTTATCCAAAATACCTGGGAGCCAATAGCTGGGAACGTAACTCCTTGTTCCTTAAGGTTTTTAATCATTGCTGATATTAGACTAAGCTGTGGATCATTCTTAAATTCATCGGTCCATTCAACCATGAGAGCCTTTAATTTTTCACATACTTTAGGATGACCCTAAACAACAGGAAAAAATTTAATAAAAAGCACTAATTTCCTGGCTAATGATTTAATATGGATACCTTAAATATAAAAATGTTTCAGATCTCTTTTTAAATCATGAATTATCCCTAGTTACAGACAACGCATAAGAAAATACAGTTAATGGAAATAAACTAATTTTATTTTCACACTATTAAAAAAAAACAGAAGACACCATTACATGTCTCACATCAAATTAAAACATTAAATATATAACTTATTTTGGAGGTCAGAAAGACAGGACTTTTCAGAGTATTTTGAAACTAAGCAAGCATTGTATATGAGAAAGACAAAGAAAAGTTGTTTTGTTTTCTGCAGACCAATACAAACTAACTTGGAGAGACTAAATATTACAATTTCTTTATTCCTAATTCCTGACTTTAAACGTGCATGACTGTTTTCTCCAAGTTACTTAATTATCTGAGGCCTGGCTTGAGATCCATTACATGTCAGTATTCCTGGAAACTTCATTTCTTCAAAGTACATTCTCCCTTTAATTATAAAACCAACATGTTCACTGTAAAATATTAGAAAATAAAGAGAAGTTCTTTCTCCTACATGTAACTGCTTGCTTTTCAAAACAGTTGTCCATGTTACTAAATAATGAGTATAGATTTTCAACTAAATTAAATTAAACATTATATTAGAATCTCTTCACAAACAGTTGTACATTTTGATGAACATTCAGGATATCAAAAGAATTGCTTTTAAGTACTAGCAAATACCTAAATATAACTGAATAAAGCAGAACAGGAAAAAAATTATTATATAACCATAACGTTTTAAAAGAAGTACAAAATTTTAAATTCTTATTTCATTTCTGTACTGTTCCCTACTAAGATCTGGAGATACTCATTTTTCCCAAAAAACATGAAGCATTTTCCCTTTTAACATTGTTTTTCTTGACATATAACACCCCACCACAAAAAAAGGCCAGAAATAATTACCTTTAGAATGTATGAATTTTTACTGAGAAAACTCACATATTACTTAGCAAATTAAATTTTTTAAATTCCCTAAATTGCTTGTTTTGAATTGTTTATTTGTTTGTTTGTTTGGGGGAGTAATTAGTTTATTTATTTAAATGGAGGAACTGGGGACTGAACCCAGGACCTCAGCCTTGTGCATGCTACGCACGTGCTCTACCACTGAGCTATACCCTCCTCCCTGGATCTGAATTCTTAACATTCAGTTAAGCAGATAGTATAATATTAAAATCCTGTGATGGTTAGGTAGTGGCCTTATTCATGTCAAGATGAAAACTTAACAGTGCCACATTTCGTTCAGTATTTCTGAACAGTCTCAAACCAGGAAAATATCTCTGTGTCTGAAAAAAAAAATGGTTACAAAAGCTGTGCCTAAAGTAAACTGGCACCTCTTAATCAGATAGGAAATGCACACATTTTTCATCAGAAGAAAGGAATGATGAAGAAAAGAGGTTAAATATATTCTAATCTGGCTTGACAAAAACTAATCCTCTAAGTTAAATAAATTCGTAGTCTCTTCAGCGAAAATATACCATGTACTTATATACGGGATAGAAATAGCATAGAAAGAGTTTTTTTAAAAAAAAGCACGAACTAATCCTTTGTGATTAAAAATGTGAAGAACTGAACAAAAAAATACATGAAGAAAGAAGACAGTCTTAATTCATTTCTGGAAATAGTGTTCCTTACCTTGTTTAAGACGTTGCTTACTTCACTAGCAAAATCTCTCGAACATACTTCTAAGTGAAAAATTTTGCCACAGTTTGATACGCATGCTCCTAGAAGCTAAAAGCATAAAATGAGAAGTTAAAAGGGCTCAATTTCAGCAGACAATTGTGAGATAGATCTTAAAATGAAATCACTCACAGTCAGAGCTTGCATAGCAACATGAGGATCTTTATGGTTCACCCTCCTCATAACTGACCGAAGACAATCTTTAGGTCTAAAAAATGAGAAATGTAAAGATTAGTAGTACACTCTACCTTATTGTCCCTAACTATAAAAGGCAATAGATATTATACAAAAGGGACAATATGGTAGAGAAGTTTAATTTTTACTAACGACACAATCGAAAAACTATACATTAAAAAGTTCCATAAAATTTTTCAAACAAAATTAATAGGCTCCCTTCCTTAGCAATCCTTTAGGCATTTTGGGCTAATTCTGGGTGAAAAGTTTTGAAAATAAAGTACAAGACTAAGACTTTCACTTCCAGTCATGATGGACTACCTGCAACGAGACTTATACTCCTGCTGTAAACAATCAGAAAACTGGAAAAATATATTTAAAGTATTTTCGGGACATTAGGCCACAGGTAGTGCTGAACAATGATCTCTAAGAACGAATACAAACTAGATAAACCAGACATTTGCCTCAACTTTCTACCCAGAGGCACTTTCCAGAGATGGAATAAGCTTTCTGCCTAAGGCAGTTTCTGGATCTCAGTGCAGAGGGGATCCCAAGGAGACAGCGGTGATCTCACTAAGTTGAGGAGACAGAACCCGGACTTCCGGCAGGCTATGGGAACTAGACTTTGTAGGACAGGGTACAAGGAGCTATATGAAGAAAGAGTCCTAGATACCTGTATAGGGGTTCACTTTAGGTCTGTTGTGGAAAAATCCAGAAGGCTGGGCAAAAAGTGACTGAGAGCTTTACACTAAAGGGTTCCCAAAGCTTCCACAGTTGTCAGAGCTCATACCAAAGTGGAGAGTCCTTATAGCAGAGGGCTTAGACCTTGGTAACAGGGCTATACTATCCCAAGATTATTCTAAATCCATCCTATAACAGCTTAAAAATAAGCCACAGAAGGAAGGATCAAGTTGACCTAAGTGTCACAACTTCTGACAGAATAAAATCCAATACTTTTTAACAGGAATACAACAAAATCTGGCATTCAACAAAACCTGGCATTCAACAATATAAAATCCATAATACTAAACACTCAATCAAAAATTACTGGATAAGACATGAAACAGGACAAAGTGATACATAACTAGAAGAAAATTTAGTCAAATGAAAATGTAGAAATTTTATACGCTATTCTAAGTATGCTCAAGGATGTATAAGAAATCATCAACATAACAAGTAAAGAGGTGGTATGTAAAAAAGAACCCAATACAACTTCAGGAAAGAAAAATATATAAAATTAACTAATTAATTAACTAATGGGATGAAATTAATCTGATCAAAATGGAAGGACACATCTAATATGGGATTAATAACCAGAATATACAAAGAAGTCCTACATCTCAAAAACAACAAAAAATAACAACCCAATTCAAAAACATTCAAACACAGGACTTGAACAGACATTTCTCCAAAGAATATGCATAAATGGCAAAAAAGCACATGAAAAAGCATTCAACATCATTAGGGAAAGGCAAATGAAATCACAATGAGATACCACTTCACACCTATTAGGATGGCTAATTTTTTTTTTCTAAAGCTATCAGTGATACTGTCATCACTTTTTTCTTTTCTTTTCTTATCTTATCTTATCTTCTGAACCAACTTGGGCACATTATTATCAACCAAAGTCCAAAAGGTTCACTCTTGCTGTACGTTCTACAGGTTTTGACAAATGCATAATGACATGTAGCCACCACTATAGTATCATACAGAATAATTTCATTGCCCTAAAAATCCCTTGTGTTCCATCTATTCATTCCTCCCTCCGTCTTCCCAAATCCCTGGAAAAGAAAGAAAAAAAGGGAAAATACGAAGTGGTGGGGACGTGGGAAAACTGGAACCTTTATGCATTGCGGTGGTAATGCAAAACGGTGTAGCCACTGTTGAAAAGTTTAATAGTTCCTCAAAAACTTAGATATAAAATTACCATATGATCCAGTAACTCCACTTCTGTGGATAGACCCAAAAGAATGAAAGCAGGAATTCAAGCAGACATTTGTACATCCATCCTTTGAGCAGCATTATTCACAATAGCCAAATCTCCATCAACAGATGAGCAGATAAACAAAACACAGTGCAATATCATTTAGCCTGAGGGAATGAAATTCCAACACATGCTACAAAATGGCTGGACCCTGAAAACATACTTAGTTATAAGCCAGACACAAAAAGATAAATGTTACATGATTCCACTTATGTGAGGTACTCAAAACAGGCAAATTTGTGGAGATAGAACATAGAACAGAAGTCACCAGTGGCCAAGAGGAGGGGAAAATGGACAGTTATTATTTAATGCATACAGAGCTTCCATTTGGGATGAGGAAGTTTTGAAAATGGGCAGTTGGACACACATACCAAAAAAACAACAACCAACCAAAAAAAAACATTAACAAGTCATCAGAAATACAACTAGCCCTGGAAAAATTGGCCAGTAAGAATTATCCTAAAAAATTTCTTTAAGAATTGACAATACAATTACTAAGAACTGTGATAAACAGAAAAAAAATTTAATAGGGAAAAATTAGAATAAGAAACAGAGTTTCTGTTTCTAAGGATGTTTCATTGCCTGTTGGGAAGTCTTCCACCTAAAGAGCATGAAGAAAAGAGGGGAAAAAATTGAATTTATTGAATACCTATTATATGTCACACATTCAACTCATGATTCTGCAGCTCTTACTTTATTGATTTTGTATTAAAAGTATCTAATAGCAGCATCATTAAACTGAAGAAATAATATAACATTACTACTTAGATTTTTGCCTTTTTTACAGTTGGATTTATTTTAGGAGCCAGAATCTGTGAACCCATGCTGATTTTTGCAGGTGTGACAACCATGTTGGCAAACACAAAATTATCATTTCAAGGTACTGGCAGAGGCCAAATATAAAAGGGATTATCTGAACACTAAAATTAAAATTCATTTAAAAATAATAATCCAAAGATGATTCAGCTCAGTGAATTAAAACATTTCAGAAAATAATCTTCAATATTTGCTTTACCACCAAATTTTAAATGAAATTTCTGACGTATTGTTCATAAACCACCTTTGTTTTAAAAGAAAGAAGTCTAAACTGGGGTGACTTCTGGAAAGGGGTGTGGAGAAAGGGACTTTGAAATGGAACTTTTACTTTTCATTTCACTCATTTCTACACTGTTTTAATGTTTTTCCCAATTTTAAAAACCAAGACAAAGATGTGTCTGGCACCAAAAAGTCAGCTATTTACAATCATAAAAAGGATAATGCCACAAAAAGCCAACTAGAATGCTTATAAGTGTTGATGAACACTTTATGTATGTCAATACAGCGGTATCTTTTTAGATATAATAAGCCAAAAAAAGTCCCTTCAGAACTGTGTATAAAACTGGCACTATTAAACAGCAGAAGCGACCCACAAAAATCTAGTATTAACTATCTCATTCTGTTCCGTGTTATTTTTTCAATTCAGTTTTTCAGTACTTCCACAAGATGATAAATAAAATACAGAAGTGAAGTATATTTATAAATATTTTATTACTAAATCTTACAATTCAACCAAAGATTATGGCTAAAAGACTTTTTAACAGGTTTACGAGTTAGAAGTAAATTTAAAGTAGGTGTTCCTATGACTTTCATCCTCTTACTGGTAAATGAAAGTTGTCTACAAACACAATGTCTGTATCATTTATCACCTATACAGGGACCCTTTTGATAGTGGAAGGGGGTGCTAACTGGACACAACACAGGAACAGCAGGCATTCAGTGAAATTATTCAAGGCAAACTGGACGTAGAGTCACCCCAGCCAAAACCATGTTTATCCAAAAAACTGTCTTTTTTATGCATAGATCATGGGAGTAAGAAAAAAAAAAAAGCTGTACTTTCATCTAGTCATGACTTCTAATGTCTTTTTCTCAAATCCTGCACCAGATAAGAAAACAGACATCGTAGGAATGGACGCAGCTGCCTTGGCCTGGGTCTGCTTTGATGAACTAAAGCATCAAAGTCAAAGTCATTATTCACAAGCACAGCACAACAATCCAGCTCAATAAACTGTACTGTGGGCTTCAAAGAAAACAGAGTTCTACGAGGGGGCTCTTCTCCATCAAATCCTCTCTACGATAACCACTCTCAGTCTTTCAGTTTCTATGCCTTCAACATGGTCAATGCTCAGTAAAAAGTCACTGAGCTAAACAGAAAAAACACTGCTTTGCACTGTTGTACAATAATTAGTACTTAGAATAATTGAATAATCTTCATTATAAAACTTTATTACCAACTTCTGCATCTTCCACTGAATTTGCTTTCTATGCATATATGCTCTCAAAAAATTTATGTCTGAAAATCACAAGATAAGGGGGAAAATGCACATTAAGTAGTGCTGGGAGGAGCACAGGATGTGAGGAGACTGATGGTATATTTAAATGAAGCATTTTGTAAAAACACCGGCTACGATAAAACCTGCATGTGCATGCAGAGGAGTTTACCAACGGTTTCCATCACCTACCTTTTGTAAAGGGTAGTCAAATCCTCATCTCTCTCAAAAACCTTCTCAAAACTCTATTTTGGTATTTTAAAACTTTTTCTAAGCCTTATCCTCTCTTTTTCTTATCTTGAGATGGGAAACCAAAAAAGATGGGGGTCAAGGGTAGGGACAAGAGCAAGGGAAGGAGAACTTCCTCTCACCTTTCCCAGTTTTCCAACCCAAAATAACTTTCTCTTAATTTACCATGTGATAAATGACCATAGCACAAATCATACCGCTTTAAAATATAATGGAACAGTACTGTTTCCTAGGGTTTGTTTCTGAAGTCAGGGTATAAAGCAAAAATTGCAGTTAATCAATTTTCCTTGATTAGGGAGTTACTGTTGGAGAACATACTCTGCCATCTCTCAAACTGCTCAATACAGGCAACTTTTCCTCAATTATGAAAGCAAAAACTGCTACTTGGAGCACCAGGTGAAGAAGCTGGCTTGTCTATAGGGCCATGTTGTTTAAAACATGCATACTCTGAGCAAGAGTCATACTCAGTGTACAGAAATAGTCACACTCCTTAAG